ACACACACCTACCTACCTTCTGGAGTCTTTGTACAGCTCTTTTCTTTGCTTTAGAATGCTTTTCCCTCTGAGCAATCCTAAATAGCAAGTCAGCTCAGTCAGCTACCAAGGTGTATGTGTGTAGCCAGTGTAGCTTTGAGGGAGGGCACACCAGGAAGTTATGTCACTTAGGTAGGTGTCCTGTGGCTGTTTTACTAAAATGTTTTCATAGCTGGGATGAGCAGGTGCTAATAGCTCCTTTAAAATGTTTTAAAGGAGCCTAGAATTACTAGGGTGGTGTTCCCTACCTTCTCAGCTCATGCCTGTGAGCCTTGTAAGGTGTGGGGTTTGTTTTTTAAACAGGTGATATATAATTTAAAAGGTAAAATAAGTGTGTAGGAAAAAGTAAGTCTTTCTCCACCCAACACTCAGCCACCATGTTGCAGTCTCTCCAGGCACCCACTTTTACCAGTTTCCACAGATACCCTGTGCACATAAGATGTTTGTATAGTCTTTGAAAATATTTTGCCCTTTCCTTTTCCCCTTTACAGTATATCTTGGAACTCCTTGACATTGATACATATCGAGCTGCATCTTGTTTTTAACAGCTCTCTAGTATCCCATTAGCTGTATTGTAGTTCACTATATTATAATCAGCCTCTATTGACAGACATTTAGGTTATTTCCATCTTTTTGCTGTTGTTATACATAATATCACAACAGTAACTTCCTCACTTCTAAATTACTCAACCTTTAATTTGTTTGTGGTCATACTTATTTTTGAATTTCAAATAATGTTAGAGTGAGATTTTTATTTAACTAACAACAGTGGTTTAAGAAGGTTGGGAGACACTGCTCAAACCCATCCTGGGAAGAAACTGAACCATCAGAGCCACCTTGCCGAAACTGCTCCTGCCCACCTGCACTTGAGTTTTGGGTCAACAGCTTGCATGGTGGGGCATTTTAAGAAACTTATCTTAAAAAACAACATTATAATTTTTGTAAGGAAGTCACTGAGAGCAATAGTCTCTCTGTGACAGAGTCCTTGCTATGACTACTGGGAAGAAACTTCTGTCACATTTCTATTTTATAGAGGGTGCAACATCTGTAATTGATTCTTTCAATAGTTTAAAGCTCACAATTGATTGTGTAGCACATCTTTAGGAAGTAAATGCACAGGTCTTGATGGCATGTCTTTTATGTACTAACCTTGTTCTTGGTTCTACCTGATGAGTTTTTCCCCTCCAACACATCCCCTTTGCTCCAATTTCCTCACTTATTTTTTTTTAAAAAATCTTGTTGGAGATGTTTTTGTTAATTGCCTTTTGTTAGTTGGAGCAAGATAGAGTATAACATGAGAAATGAATAAAAATATTATATTGATTCTTACAGCATTGTGTCTGCCTCATAGGTACTCAATACACATTGAATAAATGAGTTTTGCTAATTGTTTAACAGGATATGAGAAACTTGCGACTTGCTTATAAACAAGAACAGAGTAAACTGGGACTATTTGAAAACCTCAACAAACATGCATTTCCTCTTTCCAATGGGCAGGTAAGTACACCAAAATAAACCTTTTTGCATGCCTTTGTGGGGGTCCAAAAATTTCATGTTTAATTATTCTCTTTTCCAGATGTTACCTTTATCTCTTTTCTTTGTTGGTAATTAATATTAGAATATTTAATTTTTGATGGTTCTGTGTAATGATTAAGAAAGCTGCATGTTTGTTGCTTCAAAATTTACAAATTAAAATAGGAATCAATACATTCAGCTCATCTTAACACATTCAGCTCATAACTGAATGAAAAGCTTTAATGTTGGGTATATGACATAGCAAAGAAATGCTGACTTATGTATTTTGGGTTTTTGTATCTAGACACTCTTTGCATTCAACTATAAAGAAAAATTTCCAATTAATGGGTGGAAAGTTTATGATCCAGTAGCTGAATATAAGAGACAGGTAAAGTATGTTGCTTATCAAACTAAAAATAATAGGTTGTGCATCTTTTTTCTTTTTTAAAAGGTTAAAAATGTTGTGGAGAAGAAACCTTTTGAAACAAGTTGTACATAGATATAATTTATCTAACTTGTAGATTCTTCATCTCTGGGATGCCCTATTCTCCCTATGGCAAACCTTTGACTATCCCACATTGTTTTTCCAGAGACAAGTGGAGTACAAGGACTGGGGTTTAAAAAGCAAATTGATCAGATGGTTTTTATTAGATATTCTGGTAATGAGTTGATGAGTAAGGATAAAAACCAATGGCTTAAATTATATTTTAAATATATGGCATGACTACATCAGTCTGTTATGGTGTTTCTCTACCAGAAGCTGTTTACTGCATTGTCAGTTTCAAGATCTTCCAAGATTATTTCATCACATTTAATCTTTGTTTCTACCTTATATTTGGTATGGTGATATATATTACTTATTTTAAACATTTGTAAGAAATTTCTGTGTCTCTAAAAGACTTTCATGAGTATTTTCAAAAACATCATTATGCTATGCTCTTTCTTTATAGAAACACTACAAGAACTGTATAGGGCTAGGATTATAGTATATAATTTTCATTTTTTAGTATATTTGAAATTCTTATGCTTCATTAGGTTTTTAAATAGGTAGGAAATGGGTCATATTAGATAAATATATATTTAAACTTTTAACTAGCACTGAACAAATTATAAACAGATTTTAGTACAAAATAAGAAATGGATGTGGTTCATGCTTAGTACTTTTTGAAAGTGTAAAAGTATGCTTTCTCCCTCTTCTTTCTTCTCTAACACCTTTCAGGGCTTGCCAAATGAAAGTTGGAAAATATCCAAGGTAAACAGCAATTATGAGCTCTGTGACACTTACCCTGCCATCATTGTCATGCCAACTAATGTAAAAGATGATGACCTAGCAAAAGTGGCAGCCTTTCGAGCAAAAGGCAGAGTCCCTGTAAGTAATAAATGTTGTCATTTAGGTATAAACATATACTGTATTAGCTCTAATATGGAAAGAATATAGAAAAAAAATCTAGTGAACAAAATGGAAAATAGAAAAATAAGCCTAAAAACCTGAACATATCTTTGATTCTCAAGAACCACCTAAATATATAAACATTCCATTTGCTGACTGCCTTATATGACTTCACATTTCTAAGTACAAGGGTAATTTCAATTTACCTCTCAAAATGTAGTAGAGTATAACAAAGGATAGCAAGAAAGAGTTATCATGTTACTGCTTTAATGGTTTGTGTCTCTGGTTTCACCAACTCATCCTAGAGGAAAGACTCTCTTAGATGCTGAGTGCAAGGCTGCAGCTGCATGGGAGGGACACGATTATGAAAAGAAACATAGGAGCCAGCAGGGGATGGATTTTTTTAAACAGCTTAATTGAGGTTTAATTGATATGCAAAAACATAACACATATTTGATGTATACAATGTGATAAGTTTGGACATATGCATATCCCCATGATACTGTCACCACAACCCCGGAGGGAGTGAATGTATTTTTTGTTGTTGTTTTGTGTTTTGTGGTTGTTTTTTTTTATATATCTTTATTGATTTCAGAGAGAGGAAAGGAGAGGGAGATAGAAACATCAATGATGAGAGAGTCATTGATGGGCTGCCTCCTGCGTGCCCCCGACTGGAGATTGAGCCCACAACCTGGGCATGTGCCCTGACCAGGAATCGAACCCCAATGGCCTGGATCTTAGGTCAACACTCAACCTCTGAGCCACGCCCGGTCCGGCTTGTGTTGTTTTTTTAAAAATATGTTTTTATTGATTTCAGAGAGAGGAAGGGAGAGGGAGGGACAGAAACATCCATGAGAAACATCGATCAGCTGCCTCCTGCCTGCCCCCTACTGGGGATCAAGCCTGCAACCCAGGCATGTGCCCTGACAAGGAATTGAACCAGCGACTTCCTGGTGCATGGGACGATGCTCAACCAACTGAGCCACACCGACCAGGCAGGAGTCAATGTTTTTTGAGCCTGGAGTTTGCAGTCTGGTACAATCCTGATTCTCTTGACCACTGGAAGAAAACAGGAGGTTTGGGGATATAGCTTTAGATTTTATGAGAGACTATATATTCACTTTGTCCTTACCTGGCCACATATATCATTGTTGAGATACAAAGATATTTTTAAATTAGGAGGCAAAATAAAACTAGTCAGTCAAATAGGAATGGGGCTCAGTATTAGTAATCTTTTGACTTAGTTTCTGATTTTCTTAGAATCATAGAAGTTTAGATGTGGAAGGGGATTTTTAGAGCTCGTCTCGTTAGACTTCTTTCAACCTGACCCAAACATTGCATCTCAGAGCCACTATCATGCTGTGATTGGCCTGACCCCTCATCTTTAGGGAAAATATGCAGAAGAAGCTGTGCTTGAGAAGAGAACTTGTTTTTACTACCTGGTAATTAGAGCACATACTGTTTTAGGAACTATACTCATATTTGTTACTTACAAACACTAGGTATTGTCATGGATTCATCCAGAAAGTCAGGCAACAATCACTCGGTGCAGCCAACCACTTGTGGGTCCCAGTGATAAACGCTGCAAAGAAGATGAAAAATATTTGCAGACAATAATGGATGCTAATGCACAGTCTCACAAACTTATCATCTTTGATGCCAGACAAAACAGTGTCGCCGACACCAACAAGGTACATTCTTGATGACATTGCAGAACCAGTAGGTCTTGTCTTATGTACTGTCTGCAAATCGTTATGCAATTCAAATAGCCATTGACTTCCTCCCCACCTGAAGGTAGAAGCTTTCCAAGTAGCCCTTAGGTATCCCTCCCTGGGATATAGTCTGTAGATGTCTCATGTTGGTATCTTGTCTCTCTCATTGTTCCTTCACAATCCTGCCTGCTGAATTAATTAAGCAAAGACCCAGAAAGAGAATTAGCACCTAAAGAATCAAGTAAGTATTTTAATGAAATGATTGTGAGGCCCTTGGAAGTCCCTTTAACCTGTGAAATATGGTGATTGCTTGATTAATTCATATCAGGTCTGAAGCTCGGTTAGAATGTAATCAACTATGTGGAGCTAGGCAAATATACAAAGTTTCCATAAATCACATAGAGCAGTAGTATCTGCAGACCACTCCATTTGATTCCCACTAGCTGAAGGGGACAGGATTCTTCATACCTAACAATAGCTATGACATCAAGCCTCCAGTACCCACTATCCAAATAGAAATGGCTCTAAACTGAGTCATTTCTATTTCCCATGAATGACTTTCTGGCAATGTGTTCTACAGGTGGGTATTTGCAATCACGGGGCTTGCCCCTTTCCACAGGTAATTTCAGGTATCAGGAAGGGGGTTACAGTCCTTACTATCTCATGTCATTTGGGTAACAAACATGTAATGAACACCTACTAGGAGGAAATACCACAACAGACCAGGCTTGGTGCTATATACAGGTATCAGCTCAGTGTGCTGGGGAAGCCAGGAGAGGTACTGGCCAGGCCTGCTTGTGAAGCTGAGCAAGCCTTCGTGAAGGAGGCAACATTTGAGCTGGCTTTGGATGGTTAGCAGGAAGAGACAACAAGCAGGGCATTCTAGAGAACACATATACTTATTCAACAGTGTGCCAGAGGACATCATTCACGAGAGTGGCAAGAAGGAAGATGTCTGAGAGCATGGTCAGAACCCCTCATGTTCTCCTCAGCAGTGCTTGGGGGAGGTCTTTGTTTCTCTGGGCAACATGAACCTCTTCTTTCCTCAGTGATTATTTTGTTGACCACAATCTCCAAAAAAACCACCCTCCTACCTCCCTTGTCTCACTCTCAAGAGAATCCATTACCTTCTACTTCAAGGAGCAAATGAGCCATAAGACATTTCATTTTCCCTCAGTACTTGAGTGCCTGCTATGGACCAGGCATTTTCTAGGCATCGGCAGAGACACATACTGAACAAGCAGTTGCATCACCTGCCAAGTGGTTATCCTCTGAGGTATGGAGGAACATGAAACATGCTCTGAGAGAGCATAGAAAGAACCTGGTTATTTGCTATATGATCCTGGGTAGTTACTTCATCTCTCTGCACCATGAATGCCTCATCTCTAAAATGGCAAAGACAGTAAATCTACTTCCTGGAGTGGATGTGAGACTATGTAAAGGGCCTAGGATAATACCTGTCTCTGTGAGAAAGCATTTAGTTCAAGTTAGCTGTCATTATTACTGACCTCAGAGTGTACCACTTCATTCTCTTGACTTTCATGACATCTTACCCCCTTGATTTCTTTTTCTCTGACCTGACTGGCTAGGTCTCCTTCTCTGGTTCTCTTCCTCTTCCCAACCTACAAGTGGCAGTGCTCCTTGGACTCAGTCTGAGGTCCTCTTTTTCTACTTTGTGTAATCTCTCTGAGTCATCTCCTCCAATGCCATGAAATTAATCATTCTCTGTATGCTGAGTTTGACAGCCAGGTTTCTATCCCACCCTGATCCCTCCTGAGGTCTAGACAGAATTTCCATCCATTGTCTGGTTGACATCTCCACTTGGCTGTCTCCCAGGTAACAACCGCAGCAGAGTTAGGGCGTAAGAACCATTGGCTTGGCAATCAGTTACACTTGGGTTTTCCTCTAGGTTCTTCCACTTGGTGCTATGTAGAACCCTGAGCCTCTTCGTAAGCCTCAGGTTCCTCTGAAATGACAGATAACAGTGTCTCCTGTAGAGGGCTGTGTAAGGATTAAAATTAAGTGAGAAGAGTGCACGTAATGGACTCAACAGTATGCTGGGTACATCCTTAGAACTCAGTACATGATGTTGATAAGCTCACCACCCCAGGTATCTGGCCTGGGGGGTGAAGGGTGGTGTCGGCTACTGAGATGGGGAAGACAGGGAGAGGAACAGGGTGGGGAAGGTTATGAGCAGTGAGTTTCCTGAGGCAGCTGTACAAATTACCACACACTTGGCACCTTAACACAAATTTATTCTCATGGTTTTGGAGGCCAGAAGTCTGAAATCTGGCAGGGTTGTCCTCTCTTAAAGGGTTTCAGGGGAAAATTGTTCCTTGCCTCTTGCAGATTCTGCTGCCTGCTCTGTGCATGTAGTCACAGCACACCAATCTCTGCCTCTGTCTTTACATGGCCTTCTCCCCTTTGTATCTATGTGTCCTCTCCTCCTCTCTTCTAAGAATACTTGTGATGCCATTTAAGGCCCACCCAAGATAATACAGAATTTCTGTTTATCACGAGATCTTTAACTTAATCACATTTGCAAATACCCCTGTTCCAAAAAAGGTCATGCTCACAGTTGCCAGGGATTTGATGTGAATATCTTAGTTAGTTCCCCTTGCTCCCCACATTTGGTGGATCACTAACCCTTGTCAGTATTTCTTTGTCTCTGCATACTTCCTGTCACTACTGTAATACTGTCCCAAGGAAATAAAAACACACGAGGAAAGCTCTAATCACAGAGGTGATCTTCTAAACGTTCCACAGAGCAAGGGCAGTTTATTGTGTTTTATCCAGTGTGGAAGAGACAGAAGCAGGACACCAAATTGCATGTCTAGAATGACTTTACTATAGCAGTGTACATGTCTGGGAATCAGACATGGATGTTTATTTGCCCAAGTCCCCATTAGCTCTTCTATAATAATATCATATTATTTTCAAGTAACGATAGTTTCACTTCCTTTCCAACCTGGATGCGTTTTATTTCTTCTTGCTTAATTCCCTGGGCAAGAACTTTTCCCCTAAGGCAAGAGAAACAAGGAGAAAATAAACAAATAGGACTACATCAAACTAAAAAGCTTCTGCACAGCAAAGGAAACCAGCATCAAAATGAAAAGGGAGCCCACTGTATGGGAGAACATATTAGCCAATGACACATCTGATAGGGGTTAATTTCTAAAATATATAAAGTACTCATACAACTCAACAGAAGGAAGACAAACAATCCAATTAAAAAATGAGCAGAAGACCTGAATAGACACTTTTCCAAAGAGGACATACAAGGGGCCAAGAGACATATGAAAAAATGCTCAAAATCACTAATCATCAGAGAGATGCAGATTAAAACAAGGAGGTACCAGAATCAACAAGATGGCGGCGTAGGTAACAGCTGCACCCACCGCCTACCACAACCACATCAAAATTACAACTAAAATACAGAACCACCATCACTCAGAGCCACCTGAAATCTGGCTGAACAGAAGCCCTACAACCAGGGAGCTGAAGAAACACCGAGAGCGGTAGGAGGGGCGCAGACGCGGGCGGATCGGGCCTGAATCGAGGAGACACGGCACCGGGCCCACACCCGGTGCCGCGGTTTAAACCCGGAAGGGAATCTCGGCGACAGAGGTTTCCCGGAGGAGGGAGGGGTCCCAGCCCCACAGCAGGCCCTCAGCCCAGGGCTCCAGGCCAGGAAGAGATGTCCCCACAACTTCGGGCTGTGAAACCAGCGGGGACTGTCCCTGAGGGTCTCAGAGGCTGGGGGAGCCCCAGCAACTCCTCTTAAAGGCCCATGCACGGACTCACCCAGACGCGCTCCTTCTGAGCCCAGTACCGGGCAGCAGCTTGAAGGGAACCTGGAACACTCGGGGAGGAACTAACCTGCCTGAAATCCGGGCGAGAGGTGGAGGGGCAGCTTCCTCCCAGGCAGAAGAGCAGGCAGAGGCCATTGCTCCTTTGGCGAGTCCTCCCCGCACACAGCCAGCAGGCAGGCACCATATTTGAATTGCCAGCACCTGACTCACACCTTTGGCCCTGCCCCGTGATTCCCGGAGGCCTCACCCCACCCCACCTGCAGCTCATCCAGGCCATTTCCAGGGGCTTTTCTGTGCAAGTGGCCTCTCCAGCCTCATGCTTAGGACTTTGCTAAAATCTCTCAAACAAGCAACAGCATGCCCCATACAACTTGATAAGTGGCCCCAGGCCTGGCACTAGCGGCAGCCTGCATTGGCCTCTCCTGGACAACGCAAAGCCCAGCACAAGTAACAGCCAACTACAGTTTGCTGTGTAGCTCATGCTGGGTGGCTCTGAGCAAGGCACTGGCACAGGCTGACTTTGCACCTCCCGGGAGGCCCCAGAGACAGTGCACCTGGTGCTCAGACTCGACCATGCTGGATTACAGCCCTA